AAAAAAAAAAAAAAAAAAAAGATTAGATGATGATAGTAGAATAAGGTGATACTGTATTACGGTTTAAGTAGATAAAGTGGTGTGGCAGTACACATCTATAATTCCAGCCTCTGGGGGGCTAAAGCGGAGGATTACAAATTGAGCCCAGCCTGGACAACATAGCAATTTAGCAAGACTGTCTCTTAAGAAACAAACAAAAAAAAATTTTAGGGCCAGAGAGATAACTCAGTAGAATAAGCACCTGCCTGGCAAGTGCAGGGTTCTGAGTTCAATCCCTGGTACTGCAAAAAAAAGAAAAAAAAAAGAGAAGAAAAAAAGAAAAGTTTAGCAGAGCACCTTAAAAATATTTAATCTTAAAAAAGAGAAAATTTCAAAAGGGGGAAAAGAGAGAGAGAGAGAGAGAGCTGCCTTTTTTGCCAGGGAGATAGTTCAGTAGAATAAGTGCCTGTCTGGCAAGCACAGCATTCTGAGTTTAATCCTCAGTACCATAAAAAAAAAAAAAAAAAGAAAAAGAAAAAAAAAGAAACAAACAATTTTTATAGGCTGGGGATGTAGCTCAGTGCCAAGTCCCTGGTTTGATGCTCAGTATGGCCAAAAGAAAAAGAATTCCCTACAGGCTTGTATATTGAAAGTCTGATCCCAAGTGCAGCAGTGTTCAGAGGTGGGGTCTTGAGAGGGGACAGGCTCGTGACGACCCCATCAATGTACTTGTCCACTCATGAGTTCCTAACTGCATGAGCTTTTAGGAGGTGGAGCTTAGTTGGAGGAAGTAGGTACCAGGGAGTAGATCTTTGAAAGGTATACCTTTTCCCTGGCTCTTTCATGTCTCTGTCTGTCTGTCTGTCTGTCTGTCTGTCTGTCTGTCTGTCTCCTTCCTGGCTGTCCTGAGGTGAGCAGCATTTCTCTGCTATTCCCTTACATCACAATGTTTATGCTTCCTTTAGGCCTAAAAGAAATGGAGCCAGCAGAGCATGGGCTAAGCCCATAAAATCATAAGACAAAATAGACCCTTTGTCCTTTAAATTGACTTTTTTTTCTTTTTGTATTTTAGGGAAGGGTCTATAGGGTGTTCAGGGTCCTACTACTAGATCAGCCTCGTAATGATTCTCTTATTTACAGCTTCCCAAAGGCTGGGATTACAGACATGTGCCACCATGCCCAGTCTCAGTTGCCATCTCAGCATGCCCAGGGGGCCTGGCCGGCATAGCAGGCCCAGGGATTGAACCCCTGGCTCCTGCGCCTGCTCGCAGGTACTTTAATCCACTGAGCTATTTGGCTGGCCCATTGACTTTCTCAGGTATTTCATTCCAGTGACAGAAAGTTGACTAGCATTTATCATATAGACATTCTAACAATTAATATTTTCTTGTTCTCTACACGGTGCAGGGGCTCAAAACTTGCTTAGCCTCAGGCATGCTGAGCAAGTGCTCGTCCACTGAGCTCTATCCCCAGCCTAAAGTAATAAATACTGCTTTTTTCTCCCTTTGCTTTGTTTAATGAAACAGGGTCTCCCTAAGTTGTCCAGGCTGGCCTTAGCCTCCCGAGTAGCTGGCATTACAGGTGAGTACCACCCCACCCAGCCAAGTAATACTTCACCCCATAACCACATCTGTAAGAATACATCTACGTATGCAGATGATAGGAAGGGTATTTACTGAAGGGTCACAGAAATAAAGAATCATAAACCACCTAAAACAGGATTGTATCTATGAAATTTACACACAGTGGCTACCTATATTAAAGAAGTCAAAATGATTCTTCAAGCTAATTGCTAATAAGATGAAAAGACATATTAAATAGGAAAGGTGGTCAGTGCAGCCACAATAGGATTATACACAAGCACTCTTCCTCTATAGTTACTTGATTCTAGACTTGCTAATTTCGATATTTATTATTTCTGAAATCAAGCTGTTCTAAAAGTT